TTTAGATTCAAAATTTTATACAGCATTTTGGTGAAATCATAAGTAGCACAAACATAGCATTATAACTCATAAGAAAAAAGGAAAAGGGGGAAACCATTCACCTCAAGGAGACAAAATCTAATGACTTGCACCAAATATTAAGGATTGAATAATTTGCTCCTGTGTTAAACTTGAAATGTAGCTTACAATGCACGCAACTGACGAATAATTTTACAGAATCCATTAAAGAAATGGAGTAACTAATAAAAATATTACATATTGATCTTCCAAATTGCTCCAGCTATAAACTCATCAGTCTGTTAAAAGAAATACCATAACGAGTTAATAGCTCAAAAAGTAGTTGTAAGTGCTGCCTAAAATATTTAGAGCTACGACATATACATAAACAAACGACTGAATATAGTTTTATTTTTTTAGTAGTGTATAATTCTCTGACTGACCAAAAAATTTCGCTGCAGTTCTCTGCCTCAATGTACTTTGGAGAAGAGATGTCTTCAAACCAAGACGGATCCTCCTTAAGCTTTTTGCAATAACAGAAACAAGCGTTTAAGGTTAGGGACGGCATCATCAGCGACAGTCCATTGTAACAAGTATTCTGGTTTTAAGACTGAGTTGAAGGAACTCGTCATTTCTCACTTTCCAAACTTTTCCAAATTTAACGGTTCTCAGTTCAAGTGCATTCTGAAGCTGAAAAATGTCTGATGAAGGCACAGTCCACAAGAGCTTAATGTCAAATTTTAAAGATTTGATGCACCGAGGTATGAAGGTATCGAACCAAAACTGTCTAGCTTCTCAAGCCGTGCTGGAAAATCCAAAACAGGCAACAGATGACTTTGAACACGCTCTAAAAGGCTTGAATTTGCATCTCAGTTCCTGAATTGGATTTTTGGATCAAACAAACAACTGCTAAAAGAATTGAATTTTGGACAAATTAGTGAGATGAAACTTGTGTGTGATAATCAAGCAACTCTTCATATTGCATCAAAATTCGGTGTTTCACGAGAGAACTAAATACATAGAGATCGACTGTCATTTTGTAAAAGAAACGATACCCTCGGGATACATTGTCACAAAGTTCGTGAAGTCAAATGATCAGCTTGCATATATTTTCACTAAGTTCCGTACCGGTTTTCGAATTAATTACATTTGTAACAAGCTTTGTACACACAACCTATATGTACCAGCTTGAAAAGGAGTGTTAAGAAAATTGTGTGTATTAGTTAGCATCAATTAGGGAGGCATTGGTGTATCATAATTATGTAGCCTCCATTTCTTTCCTAGTTTAAATAAGGTGCATGTACTATTTAACACCCAATAGCTTAGGAGAATAATCAAATGAATGCACTCTTTCATTTCTATCTCATATTCTATTTCTCACACCATCCAAACCCACACCACTTACCAAACTACTCCTAATCGTAAATGGTATCCCCATATCATACAACAAAAAAGATCAAGAGAGTTAAAGACTTCACCTTGAGACTTCCACTGCAAGCACATGGGCTCTCCAACTTGTCCAAAGCTATATTGTGCGAACTCTCCAAAATACTGCCGCACACGTATCAGATTCTTCAAAAATACACTACTTTTGAAAAATTCGACATGAACCCGACGACATTTTTGGAGAGTTCGAGCAATATAGGTCCAAAGAATCCTCCTCCTGGCAAATCCTGCACTCTCCTCTGCCAATTAGTAGCACCTCCTCATTCACCACCTCATCGTCCTCCTCCTACATGAACATCCCCTTCTCATCCACAGTCATTGAGGAAGAGGGTCCCACCATTTCAGGGTTCTTTCCGTCCATAACCTCTGCTCCAATCGGCTTCACAAGTAGCCTGGATCATGCCTAACAGTATTAAAGATGCCTATGAAAGCTTAGTATGTCATAAAAGAACAAACATTTTAAATCAATCTGCCTAATTATATATAGTTCAACACAGGCATGCACTTGTCCTTAAATGGCTGAAAAGGTGTTGCTTATCCTTTCTCTGGTTTTCCTTATTAGTTGCTTTACTTCTTTTTTGTATGTGTATTTCTAAGTGTTAGGCCATGTGGCCACCAATGGGCTTGGCCCATTGACATGCGAGTCTAATTATGTCTCTACCACGCCCCTTGACATGCGAGTCTGATTATTTTTCATGGGTCAAGCACGCGATTTTTTTTATAGTGGATAGCATATTAGCATTGAGGCTCGAACTCAGGACCTTTGCCTGCTCTGATATATGTTGAATTGTGTGACCATCTCATCTAAAAGTTTAAACTGCTAGAGAGAGCATATATTTATTTAATTATTTAATTATGTTTCTAAAACATATTTTCGAAAACGAAAATCAACAAAACAAAATCAAATTGAAAATAAAATGAACACCACTAGTTGAGAATAAACAAAAAACCTTAAAGTTTCGGCTTCCGGTTACCAGCTCCTCCGCCTTGCTTTGTAGATCATTTTCATAACCAATCATATGTGTCTGTTTTGACAAAAAAATATTTATGATGAAGGAATTTTCTAGTTAATTGTTTACATTGATAGAAACTATATAGTCTCGGATTTCTTGTGTTTATCATCTTTATTGCTAAAAAATCCTATGTTGCACGGACTCTCCAAAACATCTGCCGCGCCCGTGTCGGATCCTCCAAAAATACACTATTTTTGGAGGATCCGACATGCACCCATCGATATTTTTGGAGAGTCCGAGCAACATAGAAAAAATCATATTTTTAATTTATAGTACTTCTATTTCAAGAACTTTTACCTTTAAAAATAAAATACTAAATAGGTAATACTAAAGCTTTAAACAAGGTGTCAAACAGATGGAATGAAGTAAATAGTAACAGGCAAGTTATAGTAAGGAGAATGCATCTATCAGAGTATAAAAGTGAGTTATGGATGTGGTAGGAATTTTCAGTAGAGTACCGTAATCCGAATTGTTATCCTTGTGTGCCATGGACTTGTGAATAAAGACCTCGAAATTAGTATTTTGATAATCTTCAAATTGTATTTCCCAAATATCCCTGGCTGACTTGTCAACAAATCCGTTGCATTCTCGTACCTCAATGGAGGGAACAGATGTCTCCGAAACATGTTGGGATCTCCTTAAGATCGAAACATTGATGCAAAGCCAAGTGTTCAAGATTAGGAAAGGCATCATCGGCAACAGTCCATTCTTTAAAGTAACCATTCGATAGTTTCAAGACTTTGAGCGGAGGGAACTCTTCATTTCTCACTTCCCATTTTCCATCCTCAAATTTAACAGAAAGCAATTCTAGCACCTGAAGGTTCTGAAGCTGAGCAATGTTTGATAAGTGCTCAAGGCCCAATCTAAAAAGTGTTACTGTCAATTTCTTTAGATTTGATGCGGAAATGCATATAGGGTATCCACATTGGGATTCTGCGAGCGTAGGATGGATGTGTAGCGTTTCAAGTCGTGGTGGAAAATCCAATACAGGTAGCTGATCTCTGCTAATACCCTTGATTCTGCATGTCAGTTCCCGTAGATTAGGTGTTTTTCTCAGCATCAAATGTGCATCGTCCACACAAGAAAAACATGGAAAGGAAAGAGTCTTTAAATCATAAAGTTCTGAGGAGTCCTCAAGTGATTCTTCTGCATTATTTATAATGAAGTACGGAGAGGCATGTAGATGTCTCAGTTTAACCATCTTCCATATTGTAAAGGGTAATGACAACTTTCCTCCACTACCATTTAATATCAGATTCCAAAGATTGACTATGGATGATGGAATTGACTGCAGAACATATCTTGCAGAAAAATACCTCAAGTAAATTAGCTCAATCGGAAAAAATATATTTTCTCTCTCTTCTTTCTTAAAGCTCTCAGGCACACTCCCCGAGGAGCCTGAGAACAAGGTATTCTGAGAATCCATAAACACCATTAAAGCGCCGATCAAATTCCGACCACCATTCTGAAAATAGCTCCGATAAATCATCCGCACGCGCCCCCACGCGCAGCCAGTCGCCGGCGAGAACAATGCCACGCGCCGGCGCGTGAGCACATTTCCGGCCACTTTTTCAAAAAAAATCTTTTAGACAGTACACTCAATGGGGATTTCCGACCACAACCATATAATCCTTTCTGAATTCCGACAACTTTTATTTTTCCGGTGGTAGGAACCTTCCAGATTTCTGGTTCTGGTTTTACCTCTTACATTGCCGAGTTTTCTAGCTCACTGGGATAACTTCCAAACAAACTTTAACTTTCATAAGCTGAGCAGCTGGTTTAGTACAATATGGGAGACAACAAGATATATTTCAACGTAGGATTCAAATCCTTTGACATCACCAGATGGAACTCTAACAAAGACACATGGTTTGAATGGGTTGAGAGAAGTCGCAACATGATGAGAAGATCATCCATGGGCAGAAAGGCAATGGAATGGATCTGCTTTGCACTTAATGAAGCCTCGACAGATCAAAACAATCTAGTGAAGAGATGGAAGTACAAGGAACAAATGACAGAACATTTCTGTACTAGGAAATATAACGCTCATGGAAGATATATGAGTATTCTGTCACTGAAGGGAGAAGGGAGGTCAGTGATAATACTCCCAGAGTTAACTCTGAACTCTGGCTGGAAAGACATAGCAGCTAAGATAGAAAGATTCATCTATCAGACCACCAGGCTGATTTCCATAGCACCACCCAGAAACACTGTGGAAAATCTCCCATATGCACAAGTAGTTAAGGAGAGTAAATGGCAGTCCAATACACTTCGAGAGGCAAGGATCAACACGAACAATGGGAAAATCTCTGTTATGGAACCTACTGGAGGAGAGGACACAGGCCTACTAAAAAGATGCATTATCGGGTCTTTTGGGAAAGAAATCAATGAGAGACCCACTTTAGCAGACATAAGGCGATGGGCGAGTGCTTCATGGAACAAAGCATACAGAGTTAATATATATGAAATGATAGGAAACATGTTTCTTTTCGAATTTCCAAACAGATTCATGGCAGAGCAGATTGTGCAAGGAGAANCGGAGGTGAAGAAACAAAGATTCAAAGGATCACTGGAATTAAAAGGGTTAACTACTTTCGATGTCAAATTCAAGAGTGATGGGAAAAGGAGTAGGGGAAGAGATCTATCAATCATTTCTATATGATTATAAAAGTAATTTCCTGGAATTTAAGGGGTTTAAACGATAAGAAGAAAAGGGAGATAATAAAAAGTCAAGTGCAGAATTGGAGGGCAGACATTATTTGCTTGCAAGAAACAAAAGTCGAGGGGGATATCGAGGAAATAGTCAGGCAAATATGGGGTGGTAGATGGGTGAGGTATGCATGTTTAGAAGC